GGACATAAACTGGGAGGACCCCCTGGTGAAGACCCACACCTGGACATGTGAAACTGGGAGGACCCCCTGGTGAAGACCCACACCTGGTCTCGTTGGATCTGTGTGGCTGTGCGAGCTGAAAACCTGCTGTGAGGACAGAACAGTGACTAACCGTCTCTTTAGCACCTCTCTCTTCTCTATTCTGTTGAAGAGCTCCTGCTCCCTCTCCTTCTCCGTCATCTGCTCCAGACGAGCTCGGTCCTCAGCGTCCCCCATCAGGTCGTCATCATAACCGTCCCTGAACACCTCGTCTTCAGAAGAGTCCGAGTCCGAGCTGGATGAAGAACTGTTGCTGTCTGAATCTGACACTTCTCCTGAAAGTTTGAAAGAGGACAGCTTTGATTTGACTCCAGCTTCAACCAGCGCAGCACAAAGTTTAACATATCTTCTTTATTTCAGGTTTTAAAAGCTCAAAGTGAGTATTTGTGAAGACATTTAGCAGCACAGTGATGTTTTATCTGTCCAGTGTTGGGTGGGTCTGGTGTTAATGGTGAACAAAGTGTTGATAGTGTTGCTTTTAATTTAAAGCTGCTGTTTTGTTCTTAAACTTAATGATTTTATATACTGTTATTATTTAAAACAAATAGTGTACATTAAACTTAGAGTAGCAGCTTTACAAMACAAACAGTTGTATTTGATTTCTACTTGACAATCACAGCTGTTACTGGTGCTGTAACATGATGGCACACTATTGTTTTATTTTATTTTTTCACACAAACTCAGCTGACTCACATCTCTTGTTTAACTTCTCTTATGTCTTTCAGATCTTACAGACCTTCTGTGGTACACTACTTTTCAACTTCTCTTTAAAGCCATGTGCTTTTACACAACAGGTCAAGTTTAAAATACTGATCAGTACAACCAAGTTTTTCAGTCTTTTATTGAAAAAACAAAAGCATTTCACATCTTTCAGACGTCTTATGGCAACATATTCATGCAGAAATATAAAATTTATGTTTCTCACTATAAATCATCAGTCATAATGAACTGTTCACTGATTTTTTAAATAAAAAACGTGTATGTTTAATGAAGCTTCCCTCCAATTTCTAATGAAAACATTTTTACCAACAGATCTTAAAAAGTAAATAAATTAAATCATGTCAAGTTGAAAGTCTGATGAGCACAGAGCTGTTGAAACAGTCTGCATAAAGAGTGAGGAGACTCTGATTTAACTCCTTTATAATCAATGTTTTTCCTCTCAACTCAGACGGATTAACACCAGTTTCATACGTAACTTTTCTCAGCTGTAAAGTTAACAAATCATCATGAGAACTCTGCATTACGTTTATTCTGATTCATATAAATACACAAGTATCTTAGGCATTGTTAGCATTTGTTGCAACTTTTCATCTTTAGCAGATTTTGTGATCAGACAACAGTCACCGTGCATTAAAAAAGGTTTTAATCAGGGTATATACAGAAATTCTGAAGTTACTACCTTTTAAAATACTTTTTACAACCCGTGGATACCCTGTTACTGAAACCAGCTGCAGTCTGGACTAAAGACGCTGTCTCAGCTRTAATCTCTGTAATCTCTGTAATCAGCTGCAGATGATTACAGAGAAATAAACTGAGATCCTTGGTAATACTCTGAAGTTGTAGCTTTGTGTTTTGTTCAGATGAAGGTCTTCATGAAGCCATTGTTACAGCTGAAGGAAAATATATTCTGTTTAACACTGATTTATTCAAGTACTATATATTCTCATTTTTTATTTAGGGATCTAAGATATTTTTGACAGTCTAATTGTGTACTTACCTGTCTTTATGTGCCATGATTAAACTGTGATTAATGGACAGAACAGGACAGAACTTATTGTTCAGACACACAACAACATGTTAAAAATAAAACTGTATTTTAAATGACCTGTGTCATGGGTCATCTTAAAACAGAATGTGTTTTTAAATGATGAGATTAGTGAACACACACCTTATCAACAAAACAACAGATGAACATTTAAAGGCACAGTGTGTAGGATTTTGTCAATTCTTTTAGCTGAAATTGAGATAATCACTAATGACAATAATAAAAACATGTCTAATCATTGCAGACAAAGA